GTTCACTAACATCACACAGCTCACAGCTTTACTCGGCACCATCTTGGTTTTGTTGTAGCTGGTTTTATTAACTCTGGGAGTTTCTCCTCTCTGCAGGCTGCTGATGTACATGAAGCTTCGCTGCGATCTGCCACCAAAGAGGTCTGTTTGCATCCCACATATTTACACAGAAAGCGCTTCAGGTGCAGCAGGTGTGTTTGAATGATTCACGGCGTCCGTGTTGGAAACGACACGAGCTGCTGTCGGCCAGACGCCGCTTTAAAGGGCCAGCGCACCAAATTAAAAAGGAGAGTTCAATCTGGGGAAGCAGTCAGCAGGGGCTCACACAATCCAGAGGCATGATGGGAAGTGTAGGAGTCTTTTTAGAGTTTGAGGATATGTGAGTCTCCTTTCCTCTCAGCTGTTTAAGATAAAGAAGGATTATTGTGATCTGAGGAGGGAAGCGAGCAGAATAATGTTCCTTTGAGTGAATCACAGCTTTGGAGAAAAAGCTTTAACAGCTTTTTCTACGATCACTGTAAACAAAGCGAGGAGCGAGCTGAGGCGTCAGTGCAGCGCTCGAGTGATAATGATGATGATGACGTCATTGTTTTGTTTTGCAGCGCCGCCATCAACGTGTGTGCCACCATCCCCGTCCCCAAAGGCTCTGTGAGGTGAGGCGCTGCCATTCAAACCAGCTGCTGCTTCTCATGGAAATCAGTCTGTATGTAAACGCAGCGCCGGCGCTTCGATTTGAATGTGACTCAGTTGTTATTCTTCTGCACGTCACTGACACCTGCCCGAACAGGAAGCTCAAGGCCAGACGAGAGTTCCCCGAGCCTGTGGAGAAAGCGCGGCTCTTCTTAGAAGTGTTTTAAATGGAGAACAACATTAGCAAAGTAGGAGGGGCGGTTCTTATTTGTTAAGGAAAGTCATGGAAATCAAAGTCAGCGATGTGTGGACACAGAGTCCTGCTGCACAGTCACAGGTGGAAACGCCTGCAGTGACGTACAGGCAGCAGTGATGGTTTAGGTTTAGAGTCCAAACCAGTCAAATCATAAAGACATCAATTTACTTAAAAGCCTGTCAAACTCACAGATCACATGATCAGATGTAATCCACTGATCAGAAAGATTACAGCGCCGCTTTTTAATCACTGTGCCGTCATTTCAATGAAACATCAGGGACACTGATCGGGGGGAAATCAGGTTCACCAACGAGACAAACCCTAAACAGGACACTTTGCATTTGGCTGGTCTCAGTGTCACTGCTGCTAGCAGGAGGTGATACCTGGACCCTGTGGAGGGTGCACAGGTAGTCCAGCTCTTTGCTGTGTCTCCAGCACAGGCCGGGGGGCAGAGGGGTCGCGGTTTCTCGCTCCGTCCAGGCGTAAATCTTCCAGCTTCTCCACAGCAGGTGTGAGCTGAGGTTTCTGTACAGCTTGTGTTAATGTGGCAAACTCACAGCGATGAAGTTTTACAAAGTTTTAAGAAAATGTTTCAAAAGTTTAAAGCTTAAACCTCCTAAGATACGAACTCTTTCATGGCATTTTTAATTTCTCTTTGCTGTTTGGCCTGATTGGGACCCGATGAATGTAAAAACAAAGAATTACCTGATTTTTGTTTTTTACCTGATTTTTGTTTTTGATGAAAATGAGATCCACGTATGAGGACATTCGTTTGACATTTTGATAGAACAGTGGCAGCATAACATCCTCGTAAGTGGATATCAGGCCCTTGTAGAGCAAAAATTAGTATTTTGGTCCCAAAATGTGATGGACGCCAGGTCCTGGGAGGTTAAAGCCTAATGTTTCCCAAATGTCTCCAGACGGCTTTGAGCTGCTTGAATC